TAGGTCCCCACAAGTATAGTAATGCTAGGCCACACACACACACACACACACACACACACACACACACACACACACACACACACATACACTCTCCATCCCTCTGCGTCTGCGCTGACTGTTTATGTTCAGGTTTTATTCCAACTGTAAGCCAATGTAATCACATTAGCATCTCTCTTTTCCACTCATTCATCCACCTCTTCTTACATATACTCAGTTTGAAAGATTATTATTGTTTAAAGTCTATGAGGTCAAGAACATTTGTTGTTCCCTTCCCCACCAAAATGATCATGTACTGTGTTTGTTTTTGAAAACACAGGCTGGTGGCGCAGAGAGCACAGTCAGGGCTTTCGGGGGTTTCTCGCTGGAGACAGCTGCTTCTTACAGTTGAAAATCACTCTACGAGAACTAAGTGGAACAACCGTAAAAGTTAAGGGTCTTAAAGTCACACTAATGAGCTAAAAGATCAAATAAAGTTAATTAAAGTTAAGGCGACTACAGTTTGTAGAAATTCTCTGTGGGTTCATCGCTGTTAGCAATCGCTGTCATGTAAATATTGCTTTACAAAATTATTGATTAAAGCTATTTTGAGTTGAATATAATAAAAAACAAAAGTGCATAATGTTCATTACACCATGACCTGTTCAGAATCAGAATACCTTTGTTAGTCCCACAGAGGGGACATGTGCATCGTTACAGCAGGAAAGAGCCACAGACAGCTTAATGTTACATATGTTAAAAAAAGTTCTAAGTTATGATATAATAAAAAATATAATAAAAAAATAAAAGTAAAAAAAAATTATTTTCAAAATATAAATCCTGTAACAGTTCTTAGGATTTAGCAGCAAGGTATATATTACACAGTTATTAATGGCATATATATATATAATAATGTTGGGTAAATATTCAGATTGTTGCTCCATGCTTTGACAGTCAGCTAGCTTCCTAACACATTACACCAAAGTTATTACATATAAAATATACAAATGTTACACAGTTCAGAGCCAGTCAACACTGTAATAGAATGCTATCTATGGATAGAGGATTTCTTAAAGAATGAGAGTTACACACCTCCAAAAGCAAGCAAAGAGTTCAACTTAAACTATTCAGTCTGCATCTGCATGCCAATACATTCCTCTGCATATTAGTTTCAAATAAAGATAATTATTATTGGATTGAGTTGATATTAGGGGTAGTTTATTCCAGTTTGTTATGGCTTTGTAACAAAGATGTATTCAACAAGTAAGCTAGGTCAGAGTTAAAGAAAATAACAGAATTCATACCACTGGACTTGTGTTTGCCTCTAAAATATATGTTTTTTCCTCACATTAGTTTATAGCTCGCTGTCGTGAACAGTGATGGGGTCGTTACTCAAAAAAAGGTAATGTATTACCCTAACCCTAACCCTAACTTGTTACATTACCTTTTACATTACTATTGCGTTACTCAGCAACAGCCTATAGCAAGGGCGGACTGGCCATCTGGACGTTCCCGATGGGCCGGTACTGAAGTGGGCCGGTTGGACGATGTGGGCCGGTCGGATAAAATTCACTAGCACCCCCCCCCCCACCTCCCGTTGACAATTTACTAGCGGTATTTACTTGCGGTACCGAGATGGGCCGGTCGAGAGCCCCGGGCTGATTTTTAATCCCAGTCCGCCCCTGCCCTAAAGCCCAAACTTAAAACTTAGGCCGACATGTGCACACATATAACAAGTACTATTGCAATAAGGAAGGCATAACACAAGTTAATGACGGTGAACATTCTAGTTTTTGCTGCTTGTTCGGAGTCGGCAGTCGTAAACTAAAGAGTGGTATGTGGGTTATGATTGGCTGTTGGAGCTGGTATATGCATCAGTGATACAGATTACACTTTAGGCAATGCTCACTGAAAAAAGAGGTGCAGTGTATATTTGCATACACTCTGCACTGTATACTGTGTGAGAAGACTTTCTGTCAGCGTGGAAATATTGCAAACACTCTAATACACACTCAGTTAGTGCAGTGCTCTCCAGAGGTAATGCTGAGAGGTGAAAGGCTCTGTGGGCATCTGGCCTTTTAGACAATAGGGTAATTATATAAAGCAAGATGAAGCCTGAACCATATCAGCTGCACACACACTCCTCACACACACATTATCAGACGACAACACTCACCCACTGCAGGACTAGAAGTGGTTTGAATGATCGGTAAGTTAAGAGGATTGCCATCAAGCCACCAATAAACAAACTAAAAAGATACGTCTGTCGGATTGAATAGGATTTTCTTCGGATTGAATGTGATCTTAACATATAGTAAAGTACAGAGACACTGGCCGTTTCTCAATCTCAAGGATTCTGGCTTCTAAGCCAATATTTCAAGGATGCTACGTCATCGAGTGCCGCCGAAGGACTGTTCCAATCTCCAGCATACTTGGAATTCCACCGAGGCTGCTTCCTTGGTTTGGGGGAAATTTCGAGGCTGCACATGGGTAGACTTTGCGTCCTTAAAATCCCCACAATGCTTTGCGCACGGACCAATTTCAAAAACCCTTGCGGAGAATGGCTGAACCGACGCAGCACAGCACACATTTAAATGTAAGTATGTAGTGGCGTAGAACATGTGTTGGTAAATATGTTACTTTGTTGCATTTGTTTTCACCAAAAATGTGTTCCGTGAAAGTAAAGCAAGTTCATAATTAGATGGACATCGCAAGGTATTTATTTTATGTACAGTTTATGTTGAAACCGTTAGAGAGAGTGGCACACTTGTTAGCCTGTTCCATTCTTCTTTGTTTTCCGAAGCCGTGGCTTGGAAGTATACTTGCTTCGTTTCTGAAGGAAGTGACTTGGAAGTATGCGACTACCAAGCCAGTATCCTCGCGATTGAGAAATGGCCAGTGAGTTGCTCTTGGGCAGAAGAGCACACAGGATGTCACCCATTTTTGTGACGTTTTGTTTATCCATTAATGCTAGATTGTGTCGGTGTATATCATTAATGATACACCTTTTTGTTTAATCCTAATTTATTTTGTTACCCATCTTAAAACTGTACATATATTGGGTAAATAAAATCCTTATTTTTTTCCACTTCAACCTGCATTCCTGATTTTTGCGTACCCTGGTCCTTCACAAAGGCTTTCTGTTCAGCCAAAGTCAAATCATAGATATTTCTTAGATTAGGAAATTCATTTTCACAGCACTGTACATGTACACAATATATAAACAACAACAATAACTCAGACAACAACAGATAGTGACACATGGCGCTTCAGTAAGCACATTTTCTGTACCTACGCCCCGGATGGCAGTGGGGCGAGATACTGATCGAGTGGGTGTGTGATAATTTCTGTTGTGGTGCGTGAGATGGCTCTGTTGTTAAGCACTGTGAGGTTGGGCGTTGGGAGTCCAATTATACTGGCAGTGGTGTTGGCGATGTGTGTGAGTTTGACGTGGTTGGTTGGTGACAGTGAGCATAGTGAACTCACTTTAGTAAACATTTTAAAATGACATGCTTGTTAAACACATGGAACTCCTGATGACTCAGAAGGTTATAGGTTAAATCACTATAACAAGTGTCGTTCTGAAGCCTGAAACACATCCTTCTTTCTCTTACCAAAGTCAGGTTTCTGAAAAACAAATAAATCTTACAAAAGTTTTGTAATTTGATTCCTGTCTGAGGGCAAAGCTGTAATCCAGAATGACTGCTGTGTTTCCCCTGTGGCTTTGGTAGCATGATAGTTATGTTTGAAAATGATATACTATCACTAAATCACCTCACAATGCTATAATGAATATTTTTGCAAAGTTTCTGACAAAGTAATGATTAAAAATCATCATAATATAGCTAGCTTGTACTTGATTTTACTGGAATGAACCATAGATTATATGGCAGCAATGACACGTGCATGACCTTACTTTTACCTTTATTTTAACTTATTTAATCATTGACACCCTGTTAAAGACAGACAGCTGACTGTTAGTATTCTCAAGGTTAACAAATAAAAGATATACCTGAATGTGTAACTATGCTATAGATAATTACATATACTGTATATATGTACGTTTTTCTGCTGTCGAGACAGAGAGCCGCATGCAATGCTGTTAGGGCTATCATTCAGAATGACTGACTGTAGCAATATATTATGTAAGTACTGTAGTTGAAAGTATAATAATTATGTTAGCAAATAATAGCCATCTGCATATTACCTCACGGACTAATGGATAGCTGTGTGGAGCCTGACACAGCAGCACAGTCAGTGTTTACTGCTAAAGCTGCTCAGGTTAACTGAATCATCACATATCAAGTAACGGTGAACTTTTATTTGGAAGACTTTACATTTATTTAAAATCTTGAAAATAATGGCAATATCTTTTATATTTTTACAAATAGATATACGTATAACCTTATAGTCTAGCAGCAAGTCCTCAAAAAAGGCTTTAGTTTTCGAGATACCCCTACCCGAGGTAGAGCAAATGACAACAATGATTTTTCTTATCTTTAGGGTCTCCCATTATTTAATTAATCACCAAATAGTCAGACAATTATTGAACTAAAAAAGAATAGTGGCTTTTTGGTCACCTTTCCCACATTCGGCCTGGTCTAATTTGGCTCTTTTTCAGGGATTGGGGTAGTTCTAAAGAACAACCAAAAAAACATTTTTTCCCCCAAAATAAAATTTGACAATAATCAATTTCATTAATGGGAGACCCTAAAGATAAGAAAAATCATTGTTGTGTTTTGTTCTACCTCGGGTAGAGGTATCTCAAAATCTGAGGGCCCTTCCTCCTAGACTATTAGATAGTTTGTGTCTTTTACATTGTTTTCAGTTTCTGTCATTTATTATTGTCAACTTTTTTTTTTACTCTTAGTGTCACTGTAAACATAGCCATATAAACTGATTACTGTACATCGAGTTCTGTGGATTATCCATACTAACAACAGTATTATTAAATGATAGATTGTGAATGAATCTTTCAAAATTAACTTAAAAATAATACTTTAACGTTTTTGGTCTTAAAACCAAAACACAAGTTGAAAGAGGCTAACACAATCCTTAGAGCTGAAGCAACAAAACATTTACTCATACCAATAACACACTCACAGACACAATATCTTTCCTAAAAACTAGTCGGTTTAATTCAAGTATTGAACATTAAGGCAGTACTCATATATGGTTGTTGAATGTCAACACTGTCAATAATGAAGGTCAAGCAGACTTCCCCTAAAACATGATTCAATCACTATCACAGTGAAATTAATACACTAAAAAAAGGTTTGATGGCAAACAAGTGTATGAAAAATACATTTTATTAAAATGGCAGTTCATCAACATTTAACACAGACATGTTAATCTTAAAACAAAACTACATACTTTTTTGATGTATTCCAAAAGTTAGTCTACTTTCAAAACCGTGTTATTATTTTACCTTACGTTTTGTACTAGGCAGCAACAGGATGAAAGACATGAGGGAAAACAGTGATTTAATAGAGACACAGTGTTTGCTTATTTTGCAAGTAATAAAACATTTGATTAAATAAACTAGTGGTAGCAAGCAGCAATCCCCTCTTTCTAGTGATCATACTGTATGGCATTGTTAGCTGCCATCAGAAATAAAAAATACAAATAAATGACTTGCATACAGCACCTGAAAAGAAATCATAAATGTGTTGGAGTCTTTTATTTTTACGAGAACAGATGTAGAAAACATTTCTATCATTGGTTGGTAATCAGGGCAAGAGTACATGTATGTTTTAATGATCCCAGGTATGATAACAAAGTACTCAGTCCTCCTGATTCACTTTAAGCTTCTATTCCTGCCACGAAAAAAGTGTTTCAGCTTCAAGTCAGGAAGAGTTTAACTGGCCTTTAAGATATTATATTGAGGTCCAATGTGATAGTTGGCACTTCAGGAAATACAGCTGATAGTGGATGGAGCTTCACGTCTTAACTCTTGACTCTGGATTGGAGCCTTTTGGACTCCAGCCAAAGTCTTGAAGTGATATAAAAAGTAAAAACTGCTTTCATTGCAAAGAACGCTGTTCTTGACAGTGTTATATGACTGTGATGTCCCTGTGGGTTAATCTAGATAGGGGCCGTTTCTCAATCGCGAGTACACATGCTGCAGAGCAACTATTTCAAGTATACTACGTCATCGAGTGGCGCCGAAGGACTGTTTAAATGCATGTTAAATGCCCAGCATTCTGCACCACTATGACATAGTTTACTTGAAATAGTTGCTCTGCAGCATGTGTACTCGCGATTGAGAAACGGCAAGGGTGTGGCTGTGCTGTCTTGATTGCCTTGATTGCAGTAACTCTGGTGCCCTGCAGCTATTTAAAAGCCTCTGCTCCTCTCTGTCTTCCCTCTGCTTTCTCCTACAGGCACCCGGTTCGGTTGAGTATGTTATTGGTTATTTCAGTTGTTTTACTTTGTGCACCTCAACACCCTCACACATACATGTTCATGCAATCCTCACCCTGCATTGGACGATAAAGACAAACACACATTTTGCTGACAATCCAGTGATGGTAGCACTTCCACTGCGTCTGTTAAGGCAGGCTGCTATCCCCAAGTGGTTATCAGACTCCTGCTACCTAAGGTCTGTCATAAAAGCTGGGGGTGTGAAAAATCCTCATTAGTCTATTTAAAGTTTTTTTTTTTTAAATAAGGCCAGTTAAAGTGTTACCTTAATCAGTTACATTACTGATACCACTGACGTTCAAACCTCATGCTTTACTTGTTTTGCACTTGATTAATTTGGCTAATTTGAATCACTTTCTTTAATAAACATATTTTTCTAACCTTTGATAGGGTGTGTCTCCTCTTTGTTGTGGCCTTTTGAGCCAGGCCATAACAATGACATACCCAGTTATTAATTAGGAACTTAATAGGAACTAACCTGTTAGTTATTCTAGTTATTATTTGACTATGTTGAACCCTGTACCATTTGCATCTCCTGTACTGAAAATGTGCTGGATGCCACAAAGCCTGGTTTGCAGTTGTCTTGCAATCCCTACTTGGATTTTCTTGGACTAAACTTGTAAAAGGCTGCCTCAAAGCAACCTAATGCAGAATTGTTTTAGAGGACAAGATAGCATACCAAAATTGCCTCTCCTTTGACCTTCTCTACACCCCAGAGTCTTCAGACCTGCTCTCTGCTGCTGCGTATGAATCTTTTGCATGAACAACTGCAGCGTGAACTGTGTGAAACAACCGACTGCTCATGTCTTTGTCATTTTTCCCAAAGAATTGTCCCTTCTGTAGGAGATCAATGACTGAGGTGTTACAATTTGCGAGGAGCACATTCACCCTTATCTCTCCATATTCCTTGACCAGCCCTTCAAAAGTGGCCATGCCTGTGGAGTCTATGAATGGGATGGCGGAGCAGTCTAAAACTATCGTGTGGAAATCCAGTTCTCTTTCGACAAGTCCAATGACAACCTCGCCATTGCTTTTATCTCCATTCGCCTTTATCTGCTTCGAAGACATCTCTTTAGCCTTCTTCTCTTCCTTTCTCCTCTTAGTCAGCTCCAGGAAAGGTTCAACTCCGACAGCTTTGTAGAGAGATCTGAGGAATGAGTCCTTGTTGGCGTAATACAGAGGAGCCTGGAAGCGAAAGATCTGAACCCGGGGTGGTGGCATGAGGTTCTTGTACTCTTCCACATCTTCGTAAAGATCGACGTCACTGGCCTTGCCAAGGAGAGAGACCTGATACCGGACATCAGAATAAATGAGATTATGAAATTACAAGGCCAGTGTTTGTAATTATTATCATCATCAGGTCCATTACTCACCTTGGGGTTCTGGGTCTTATAGATTACGCAGATCATAGAAAACACTACCCCGACCACAAGACCAATCTCCACACTGATCAGAGTCGTGGCGAACATGGCGACCAGCCAAACAATGCCGTCATCTCGGCTAGCACGCAACTTTGCCGGGACATCCGTAAACTTCCTCAGTGCCCCCCGAAGGCTAACAATGATGATACAGGCAAGAACGCACTTCTGGAGAGCGTAGAAGTAAGGCGCGAAGAAGAGGAGGACAAGAAGGACGACCAGGGCGCTAATCAGACTGGATATCTGAGTGAGGAGCAGAAACATAGAGATTTTTTAGCGAAAGAAAGTTAACATTAACAGATACAATACTACTATATTTGGCTTCTGCCGGGATTCTACAACTCAGGATAAACTTCAGTGATTTTTTATGAAACCATTTCCTCAGGCAAGTAAAGCCAGAACTTGCCATCAACTCCAAAATGGACAAACCATTTTCCAAAGTATATTATTCACCTGCGTTTGGCAGCCTGTTGAGTCCTTCACCATAGTTTTTGCCAATGCAGCACTGGTGGTGAAGCAGTGGAAGAAGGAAGGGATGATGTTGCAAAAGCTGATGGCCAGCATCTCCTGGTTGGGACGGACTGTATATCCGTTCTTCTTAGCAAACATCTCGGACAGTGACACCGTGAAGGCAAAACTACAAGATAAAATGAAAGTTTGTTTATACATTGACATTGAGTTGCCCTGATAAGCACGTTAACCTGTTAAGCCCGGGAGCCCCAACATCTTGCAAGAAACAGCGTCTGAGGGCTTCTTAACATTTAACAACTACGAATGTCTCATACCCACTTAATGGGAAGAAACTCAGCTACCTGACGATATGAACCATTTTTACCGAAACAAAACACAAGTCTAACGCTGAGCCTCTGAATTAGCATTAAGCGAAAGAGTGCTAACGCACTTAGTACATAACTCACGGTAGAAATATTTTATACTTCATCGGATCTGCACAAACTAGATATCCAGTGGCGACTCGTCATTATTATTTGCATTACTTTCTGTGCCCCACCTAGTGTCAGCAGAAAGTAATGCAAACAATAATTCCCAAAATATGCAAAAAATATTTTAAGATCATGTTTAGTAATCTAATTCTTCTGTACATTGCTGTTTTAGTCTGCGTTCTTCTAATTAGTGTCTACAGTGTGCCTATTGAGCCGTGTAGAGTGATGCTGTTAAAATGAACGGGTGCTGTAAAAACTACACTGCGCATGCTTTTTCTATTAAATGTGTGCGGCAAAAGAATAATCACCATAGGGGCACTGTGCTGCCATACCCACCAAACGTCATCTCATAATTCAGAGAGCTGATTGGCTGTAAGTATGTGTGCCGCAAAAAGTTTAAATGGGAAGAGGAGACAAGAGAGAGCAGCTTATAGCGATTAAAATCTGTAAAACAGATAGAAAATGAATGAAGTTGACCATCTACTTCAGCTTTGGTAAGTTCATTTTATGTCACATCTTTTGTTGATCTTCTGTGTTTTGCCTATAGGCTATTGCTCTGCTGGATCGATTGATATTGTGACCTCATGAGTGTCTTGTGTTTTCATTATACCCCCCCCCATCTTTCTATCGGAACCATGGATAGCCTACAGCTATTTGTTTACGTGTTTTAAAAAGGCACCAGAAGCTTATACACATCTAAGTTGTTCGTGCCCCACCACTTTTGTACATACAGTATAGATAGATTACGTATGAAAGCTGAGATTCCACAGATTCCAATGGTATAAGTATCATCACTGTGCGACCAAAACTCTCGGCAGCGAAAGCAAGCAAAGACAACACACAACTTAGCTTTACGGGGCTAAAACGGCAAATACTTCTTACCGTTGCTGTTTTCTGATCAAAAGTTGTGTTTAATGGCATTACATCACTAAAAAACTTCTGAAGGTTAATCCAATGTCTCTGTGTCACTTTGAAATGATTATTGATAGTCCATCCTCATATTTATGTCAATACACTGAGTTTTCATATAGAGTTTTTCATATAGCTTCCGGTTTTGGTCATGCTGGCTGTGCATCACTCTCATTCACCAATAGTAATGTTTAGATGGTTTTCGGAACTTCCTCTCGATTCTATTGGCTCTAACGGTCCAAAAGTGGTGTCAATCATCAAAATCGACCGATGGGTTCCAGAGATATGGCAAATACACCCAAATGACCACAGAGGTGTTTTTTTTTCTAAACCTCTCTAAAAAAGGTGAAATTTCACTTGTTTTGCATCAATCTTGATACAGGGCACTTATTATATGTTATAGTTTGGATTCCTAAAGCTTTTTGTCTACTATCCCATCATTCAAGGGTGGTTTTCAAACTATAACATATAATAAGTGCCCTGTATCAAGATTGATGCAAAACAAGNCACACACACACACACACACACACACACACACACACACACACACACACACACACACACACACACACACACACACACACACACACACACACACCGACTCACAGCCTCGCCACGTCACGCCGTCTCAGGGAGGAGAAATCGGTGAAGCAGCAGCTGAGAAAAGTTTGAGTGTGTGTGTGTGTGTGAGGAAGTCCGCGGATTGGTCAATTTGGACCAATCCACGGACTTAACGTAACGGCTCTGCGGACGTAACGTAACAGGTCCACGGATTGGTCCATTTGGACCATGGGTCACTGTACCCTGGAAGAAAAAGTGAAATCTCCAATGAGGCGTTCTCCAATGAGGCGTTCTGGGGCAGGTCGAGCGAGCGCGTGCAGTTTGCGCACGCAGGAGTTTTATGAGAGAAAATATATTTCTCTGTGCTCAAAAATGTTCATGTGCGCGCTCTTTTTCTCTATTTTCTATGCTCAACATGTCTCATTGCGTGCTCAGGATAGAGGCACAAATATAACGCCATACTACAGGGTGTACTTTGAGGGTTTGTGACTTTACACAGACCGTTTACATGCATAAAAACCTTCATAACACACAAGGGGACGGGTAATAACCGGAAAAGCATGACATGGGACCTTTAAAGCAGTGGTTTCAAGAAGGGGAAATTACCATAGTCTCTTTGGGGGAAACTTCTGTAGCAATTGGAAACAGGACTCAGAGAGACACGAGAAGAGCTTGAGCTTTGATGGCAAACACGGACGGTTTATTTGGAGCTTCGGCCGGAGAATTCACAAGACATGTCACGGGCCACGGTTTGACCACACGGTAGAGATGCCACAATCAATTCTGAAGAACCCTCCTGTAGTTCCAGGTTTTTAGTTCAGAGTGTAATAATCAACATTCTTCAATAGATAGACTAAACAGCCTAATACTTTGTTGTTGTTCAATAAGTGAGTAAAGAGAATTCAACTTCTAGTCAATTAGAAAAAATGCTGTGAATATAAAAAAGTGCCATTATAAGATTGAGATTAATGTTCAAGCGGGCGCCATCATCTGAATGATCATATAGTAACAAATCATATATTTAGCCTCAATGTATGCCAACAAACAATTCACATTAGTCACTACATTTCTCTGTGTGTGGAATTGTGCATGGTGCACACCTTTTGTTAATCAGCATTTGCAATAAAACCAATTGAATGGGCTTTCTGTCCAGTGCATAAAGGAATAAATAAATAAAGCATAATGAAATACATGATATATGCAATATAGCAGTACAGCATTACAGTTAAAGACAAACGTAACATTAAATGTTTCCATGTCCTGAGATTAATCAAGCCATAACTCTTTTTACCTCTGACTACAGGGAACCATTCTCTCCCTTTAGTCAGTCTTTCCTATACTAGTGATCAGACAGATGCTTGAGCTCACAGAGAACATCGCACGCATGTTGGGAGTAAGGGTAATGGTTGCTCTGGAAGAAAAAACATGTGAGGGAAAAAGAGACATGTAGTGTCACAGACATGGTAAATATGGCCTTGTAAATTTGTTATTGTTAAATGCAAATTGAGCAACATTAAGCACAACAATTTATAAAAATAAATGTTTCAACGCAGGACTGTGATGTGTAATTCTTGTAATTTTCTTGAAAAATTAAAGTGTATTATTTGATAGACCTTTTATATTTGTTTATTATACAGCTTTTTTGTACTATTTAAAATTGTTTGCACTTCTACTTAGTTTTTAATTTGTTCATGTTTTATTTTAGATTGTATTTTATGTATTATTATTATTATTATTACTATTAATAATAATTTGTATTAATCATTAATTATTATTAACTTTGTATTCTGTGTACCAATGCTTTGTTGTCCACAAATGTTTTAAATATGTATTTCTCTAAATATACTCTACAGCCAACATATATTTCGTGTCACTTCATAACAATGCCACACGGTGGCGTCATCGACCCCCCTTCTCTCTCTCTCTCTCTCTCTCTCTCTCTCTCTCTCTCTCTCTCTCTCTCTCTCTCTCTCTCTCTCTCTCTGGCACGAGGCGGACTGTCGCCCAGTGTCACTCATCTGCCGCTCGTGAATTTTTTCTTTTCCTCTCTCCTGTCGGAATAAGAGCCACCAGCACGCGCTAAGGGTTCTGTCGGAGTGACGGAGGCGAGGAGCCAGACACAGGTGAGCAGGTTAATTTACTTATTTAAAAAAAAAAGTTTTTCCAAACAGAAGAAAGAAAGGAATTAGATTTCTATTTGTACATTGTTACACCGAACAAACCACTACTGTCCAATTGTATTAAGTGATGTTTAGAGACCATTCGAACAAACTCTATATATTTGGTCGCTGTGTAGTCGTCAAACAAGTATGTAGCCTACTATTTATTGAGTTTACTTTCATTAACACATTAACATCATAATTATGATACATAATTGCAAGGCATTTATCTCAAAATGTACATCATTTAAATGCAAAAAAACACGTCTTACTTTACTAACAAGTAAACCAACAATCTGTAAGAAAAAAAAACATATGTTGTTGTATGAGTTTCTTTATATTACAAAATAAGAAATGTAAAGGTGCCAGGAGTTGTAAACAAACGGTGATATAGACAATATTCTAGAAATGTTATCCAAATTGATACAAATTTCTCTAAAAGCTAGCCTATACGTAATAATGCAAACTATAATCAGTTAAGTAAAAGCTGAAGATCGAACTTTATTCATCCGTTTTTGAAATTCACAACCTGCCCTACAGCTTATATAGTAAAACAAAACAAAAAACATTGCATCAATAAGTATAATTTAACAAAACAAAAAAATTGAATTTTAAATGGGCTGTTTTGCATTATACTTTTAGAATAGTACACTTCTTAATGCAGGGCTTTCACTTTTATGAATATTTCTACACTGTGGTATTACGACTTTTAAATAAGAACTTTGTCAACCTCTGAACTTTAGTTGAACTTCAAGTCTTATCACTTGTTTTATGAGAGGTGTGTTCATCTGAGAATATAGATGGGTAAACATACAGTAGTTGGGATACAAATGGGGAAAAAAGGCAGTGATGATGATAATGATGATGATAATAGACGGTCAAGTACATTTAAATGATATGGCCCAATATCAAAAAATCCAAAATTGGTTTTAAGGGGCTGTTCAGCATACACATCCTCTGTCCTTACCTTGTTTGGGATTAAGAAAGGAGGAAGGAGGAATCCTTCTTTCAGGATGGTTAAGAGGCAATAGTGTACAGAAAACCAACATAATAAAAATACAGTTTAAACAATTGAAAATATCCAGGTCCTCAAGCTGTTTCCAAGTGTCCCCTCCACCATGAAATCTAGAAATAAGAAAGGCTGCACAATCACACAAGAGGGAAAACTGAATCACAGATCATCATACTGTACACACAGAAAAAGTCAAATTTTTCTCAGAATTCTGAAGAAGTCACATTTTTTTATTAACTTTTTGTCTGAAATTCCTGGAATTCTGGAAACAAAGTAAAAGTGTTGACGTTCTCTCAGAATGTATTCTTTTTCAACTTGTTTTCCAAATTTTGACTTGAAACGCAGGCTTTCAGAACAATATTCTCAATGTCAGGACAAACTAAGACTGTCACTACTAGGCTTGAATGATATTTTGTAATGTGATCAAATGTTCTAAATTAAAGACACATTAGGGTCTCTTGCATCAGCCATGGTTAAAAAAGAAGATGAGGGGCATCTGCTCATTCATCACTGGGTCTGTTGTGCTGCTGAGATATCTACAGATGAATCAGTTAGGTTTGTTTAACGTCAACGTCTCAAAAAATGTTTGCGGGCTGTCTGGACACATGAAAAGGTCTGGTGTTGTTCAATTATCCCAGGCAAACAGTTTGCTGACATTTCAGCGCTGACGCACTGAAAATTCTCCATCCTCGTTACTTTATTACGGTATCGTTTATTAGGAACATGAACCAGACACACTCACTCATTACTGTATCCTAATAGTTGCACAAACACATGCCAACTACCTTTGCAGATACACTTCAGCGGGCACAGGCGGCTTCTGCTTCTGTATATTTGCATACTTTTCAGTTGATTACGCTTTTTATTCACTGCAAACATGGTGTTAACACTGTAGGACATTATGATAACTGCTCTGATACCATGTAGATTGTACTGTGTACACTGTGCATGTGTGTATTTGTGTGCCAGAGGAAGTGAAAGAGCATAATTAGAAGTGATAGCCAAATATAAAAGTAGTAAATGTATCGAAATCAGGTAGGAGGAAATGTGCAGGAACCTGACCAATTTGCTGAAAACAGACATTGCATTTGTCAGTCTTAGTCAGGTAAAGGTACACCTTGTTTTGAGTGCAGCTGCATTAAGTAATTCATTTGATAACCAAACGTCAAAGAATTTGGTTCTGCAGGATTTACTGTTTCAAAAACAAAGCTAATATAGTGGTCTCATCGGATAACAATTCCTCAAGTTATTGTTGAATATCCCCTCTCGGGTAATAAATCACTATCATTGCTTTCCCTTGACATGTCTCCTATTCTCTGAAAATCTTGTCCAAACCAGCATTAGCTTGCCAACATCTTTTGGCCTGTCCACATGTCCAAAACATATTTTACTGAGTCTACTGTAATCCTTCAAACACACAGCATTGGTCCTATTAAGCACTGAGAATAAGAACAAATAAATCCATCATTATGTAACCTCTGGCAACATCTGGAAATGTGACAATAAATGGTAAAGAAGGCCCTATTATGCTTATTTTTCTCATACTGCCTGTGCTGCAGCACCTCTGTTCACCCTCTGTCTGAAACCAGAGCCCAGTCTGCTCTGATTGGTTAGCTGGCCGGCTCTGTTGTGATTGGTCAACCGCTTAGAGTAGTAAAGGAGTCACATTGATGCGTTTCAGGCAGGGGGGAAGTATGGGAGAGAAACTCCCTCTGGAGGGAACTTTGGTTTTATTCTATGCACCAGGATACTGGATATAACTTGTAATCAGATGTTGATTAAAATGGAGAATAATAAACACTTATACCAATTTAAAGCCGAGACACTGTATCCAACACTGGTTGGCAGACATAAGCACACTGATAGTTTTGGCCACATCCCAGGTATGAGCATCTGTAAGTGAATCAGGCAGGTGAAACTAACTGGTGTTGAAAGGCAGGGAATGTACTCAAGTAACCTACCCTACCAAAGAAAAGGTGAAACAGTTCATTAGTCAGAGATACTATTAGTCAGTGACTTCGGGGGATCAGTCTTTGCTCTGAGCAGAAACTGTTCCAGTCCCTGCTATCGCCTGTCCTTGTTAGCCCCTCCCTGTAGACATTTGGGAGAGAGACACTGCCTTCAGGCTAATTTTAGGCAGTTTTTACCAACGGCAACTCATTAGCCTGATTCCCAGACCTAGAGAGCCGTATTCATTATCAAAGTCACCTCACCCAGGGCAACACACCTGTCTACTTTTGCGTCTTTGTTATCAGAGATAAGTTATCGTATGCAGTAGTACATTCCACACATTGCTACAACATTGATATGAGCACTTTGTTGTTGCAAGTAAAGTATGGAATACTATTTGTAGTTTTTGTCTTTACATTGGAGCCAGTCAGCTATTACTACAGTAGAGTGAAAGTACAGTATCAGGGCTCATTTAGGAAGCCATTTGCAGATGTTTTTCTTTATCCATAAGAAATAAACAACTGGTAACGCTTAACTGTGCTCACTGAGAAAGACACAATTATGTTCAGCTGTCTGTCTCCAGCGGTTTGACGCTTCCTTCCTCACATTGTCTGACTGGCTAAGTTCCAGTTTACCAAATATGATAGCTGTCAGCTGTTGTTGTGGTCGGTAATTACTTTTCAAGCTGGAAGTTCTTGAATTATTATTATTTATCATTTTATTTTGCTACAAGTTACTTAATGAAGGAAGCAGTTATTTATAGTGGAACAAGGAATATTCTTTCCTTTCTTTGCTCAGTACGTGACAATGAATAAGATTGTTTATGAGATTTAGATGATTTGATGTGACTCAGATGCGGATGGTTCCACAGAAGTCTCTTCACAATCACCCCGTTTTAATTTCCGAGGCTTTAATTGGTAACAAGTTATGTGTTGAGAAGTATTTTCCTGAATATCTTGAAACTTTACGTTAGAAATGTGGCCATACTAAGCGTTAAGTTAACCATTATATGCTGAGAATGAATTAACGAAGATGGACTGACAACATTTTAATCGGTTTTTGCTTTTATTATTCATACTGCTTGGCGGTAAATCTTGCAAGAAAGAAGCTTTAACTTTTTTTTTCTATTTAAGTGGTTGGCACATAATTGCTTTCTTGGATGTCTTAAAGCAGGATTTCCCGGCAAAACAAAGTGGTGCTATGAGAACTAAATCCATGGGGAGGCACAGAGTGGGCGATGACCCCGGGTAGAGGCTTTATTTCCACAGCCTGCCTGTCTTTTGAATTTGTACACATGTCATTTTATGTGTGTGTGCGCTTCCGTGCGTTTGTTTGAGTGTTATTCACTTTATTACGCAGTCATTCTCCATTTACCCCCCTTCATCCAGTGAGCTGGCACCCTTATTGTGACGAGCCCGGCGCGCTCAATTACCTGCTCACAGCCCATTACCCTCACCCACACAACTTTATTCAGAGCACACGCTCCATCCGCTCAAAGTTGCATCTTGCTCCAGCCATGCGTGCAGCAGGCTGGTGTGGGATTTAGTGCATCCGTGTGAGCGCATGGAAAAGTCAGTGGCACTTTAAAACGAGGACAAATGAAGCATTCAGTAATTGCAGGTGACATTTTCGATTTGAGATTTTGTTGGATATTTTGTTCAACTTTGTTTGTTTGCCTCACAGTGGGTGTGCAGAGGATTTTCTGGATGTAAAATGTTGTTGGCTTTTATTGTTGTTTGGATCCCCTTTGGCCGTTTCCATGACAGCACCTACTCTTCCTCAGATCCAAATCAATTAAATACAGTATGCAATGAAAGCGACATGCCAATATAGATTGTACATGATATATAACATTTAACATATATCAAAATAAGGAATAATTTGGCTTCAATTTGAGTTTTTGGTGTTCAGTAACTGAATCTGTTTTCACCCCTGGATTTTCCAAGGATTATATCAATTTATTTAAGCAGACAAATATGGTCTTTAAACTGTAACAAATGCC